GGTTTTAAATATGTTGGAGAAGGGTTGAAGAGAAGGGGGGGGGGGTGCAGATGCTACGTGGCATCATCTAGTGAAGGAGTCGCACGTCTAAGGTTCTTAACCTGGGTTCAATCGAACCCCAGGGGTTCAGTGAGTTAGTTTCAGGGGTTCGGTGGAGGTTAAGACAAACACCCGACTCATTTATGATTCACGATCGGATTTCGTCAGTGCGGACGATAGAACTATAAGAAAAGTTCGGTGAATACGTATATGAAACTACCGGGGTTCTGGATTTCCAGAAAAGGTTAAGAACCACTATCTTAAGAGCTGCTAGGTTGATTACGTAACGTCACGCCCTTGTCCCCAGTCCGAGACAGGGCGAGGTCACCCTGCCTTACCCTCAATCAAGACATCAATGTTTTTGTTTTGTTTTTGTTTTACATTCGGTTTTCTGACTACGAGTGTAATCGTGTCCCCTTCATGGCGTCTTCAATTACGAAGATTATTATTTTTTTTATGTAGCTTTCGATGTCACTATCATGAATTCGCATTTTTAAGAAAAAAAATAATAATTACCTGAATATTCTACATTACTATTTAAATTTGCGTTTTATATTGCCATAGTTCAGGTCTGCAATGTATTTTCTTGAACATTATGTGTTAGTTTTTATTGTGATGAATAATATATGTATGCAGTAGCTTCTCAAGGCACAATGTGGAGGGCGGGGGGGGGGGGGGAATAGTTAGGGTAGAGGGGGTGGGAAAACCGGTGACGCCATCCCATGGGGTGTAAAAACTAAAGCGAAAAATAGCAAATTAACTCATTGAGGTTATTAAATTAAGTTACATTTATCATCGTGCACATGATGAAACCACATGGGATGAGGATGACACCAAATTCTATATAGCTTTAATACATCATATATTTTGTCGTAGGTGGAGAAAGGGGGGGGGGGAGACACCGGGGCCACCACACGGAGTGTCACCTGACCTAATGACGCCGCTGTATGTATTTCTGAAATGTGGACGATTTCAAGAAATATGTCGATACAACATTTCGAAACTCGATGTTTTAACTCAAGGCTAATTTACTGGGGAGTCGGTTACACTAAGCCAAAAAAAAAATTGTCTAAAAAAAAAAAAACACGAGCGTCGTTGGGTGGGGTCACCATAGAAACCAAAGCACAACTTTCATGTTAAATAGTATCCTGCCTCTGGCTGCACCAATGCTCCTAATCTAAACCAATTACTTTAACCCGAAATCGCCCGAAAATCTCCCTTCTCTCTTGATTTAAGCAAGTTTGGTCTGGTACAGTGTTTCTTCCAGACTTTTTTCTCCGGGGGGGGCACTTGAACTCTTCGGGGGGGCGGTAAACTTTCTTCGGGGGGGGGGGGGGTGGCGGACTCTGTTAAAAGTATATATTTTCTATATAAATTATATAAATTTCATTTCGTTCGGGGGGGCGGTAAAAAATTTTCGGGGGGGGGGGGGCTTTGCCCCCCCGAAGAGATGCCTGGAAGAAACTCTGGTCAGGTAGTGTGTCCTAAACTATGCTCATACAACGTAAGTTATCGTGTCCACAGACACGATAACTTGAGTACTATTATATCTATGTTGATGGAATTTCTATGACAAAGTATTACATATTAAATGTGTTGTTCTGTTTTATTTTTCAGCTATTTCCGGTAACGAAAAGTGGAATTTATTCTACTTTCGGTTTTTTCGAAAGCCTGTAACTTGAGTACCGTTTCTGATAATTGGAATTTCACAAATAAGTAAAGGATCTAATTCACTGTTTTCTATCAAATTTTAATTAATTTCCGGTGACCGGAAGTACTTTATTCGATTTCCCATTTTTCAAAAAACGCCTATGAATTTATAAAGTACTAATATTCCGCACTACAATATACACATTTTTTGCCGTTCACTTTGAGCGCAATTCTTTTTCTACGATATAGTATTCTATTTTAAGTATTAAAATAAAGCGGGAGTGACCTCCCCTAAACTTTCTCGAATATTCTTATATAACTACGGGAGACGGCTACTCGGGATTTAGACATGATTTTTATCCATTTTTAATCTTTTTAAAATAGAATAGAATCTTGTAGAAAAAAAAAAGCGTTGCGCACCAAGTGAATGACAAACAATATCTGTATAATAGTGCGGAATATTAGTACTTTATAAATTCATATTAGTTTTTTTTTTTGAGAAATCGAAAATAGCGTAAATTACTACTCCCGGTCAAAATTTGATAGAAGGCGGAGAGTTAGATCTTTTACTTACATGTTCAATTTCATTTATCTATCTGATATAGTCCTTGAGTTATAGGCTTTTGAAAAATTGAAAGTAGTAAAGTCCCGCTTCCGGTTACCGGAAATCGCTGAAAATTTGAGACAGAACTACAAATGTGATACAATACTTATAGAGATCTATATGAAATTTCATCAACCTAGCTGTAACTTTACTCAGACACACACACACACACGCACACAGACACACACACACACACAGACATACGGACAGAATTGCAAAACCCAGTTTTTCCGACTCGATTGCGCAAAAAACTCCTAAATTTGAATAAATCTGGATTTATTATTTTTGCCCGATTAAAATAAGTCCCCTATACTTAGTATATGACGAAGTACCGAGGTGTAAAACGGTGAAAACTGTCAAAATTTCATTAGATTACAATACTTCCTCTATACTCTATATACGATGGAGTAAAAATGACTAAAAATCGTGTCTATTTTGCGAGTTGTCATTCCCCGAAGTGTATATGTTACGGTCAAAGCCCGAAGTACGGATAGCCCTAGCCCTAGCCCTAACCCTAACCCTAGCCCTAGCCCTAGCCCTAGCCCTAGCCCTAGCCCTAGCCCTAGCCCTAGCCCTAGCCCTAGCCCTAGCCCTAGCCCTAGCCCTAGCCCTAGCCCTAGCCCTAGCCCTAGCCCTAGCCCTAGCCCTAGCCCTAGCCCTAGCCCTAGCCCTAGCCCTAGCCCTAGCCCTAGCCCTAGCCCTAGCTGAGAGTCTCAAATTTATTCAATTAATAAAAAATCGTTCTTTTCATCAAGGATTCCAACAATCGTCATACGAAGCCTTGTTTGGATGCTAAGCAAAAGTGGGACTTAGCACTTCAAATCTACCAAGAGAGGCTCTCGATAATTTAGTTACTGAGGAAGATCTTTAGAACATTGAAGAAGAAATGGAGGTTGCTATAAATGCAACGACATCCTCAGCTAACACATCTGCTGCCGTGACGGAACGTCCAGACCAGTTGCGTGACAGTAATGTGGCCGACAGATTCTGTATAGTTTGTGAAAAACATTGTAGTGCGGCCCATTCATGTGGATCCTGTGGCAACGATGTCGATGCTATTTGCGGAATACCCAATAAAGCAGACGAAGGGTACGGAGAAAATATTACCTGCAGATTGTGTCACAATAAACAAGACATCATGGACAACAGGTCAGTAGCTCATACTAGCTTGCAAACTCAAGGTGCTAATATGCTTAAAACATCAAATACAAAATTTAAACAAGCTGAAGTGAGTGACAATGTAAGCAATGTATACTAGATGTTGACAGAGGTCGCGGTGATCCCCGAAGCGTGATTGCAGTTGTCATGAGCGTCGAGGGCGGTTTCTACAAATTAGGAACGGAACATGTTCTAACCAACTGTAAGCTAGTAGTGAGTTTTCAATTCTTCATGAAAAACTGCTCTTATTGTCGTCAGTTGGCACTGAGGAAAAACCACTACGAACTATCGCATCTTTACAATTACTGACCGGTGGCCAAGGCTACATTTGCTGCTATTGCACAACAAATCGCTGCAAGTGTAAAAATAACAAGCTACTATGTAATTCTAAATGCAATAAAAGTTCAACTTGTTGTAACAAGTGATAATATTGATTGATTGAGACTATAGTACAATTAAAAATTTGATGTTTCTGTCATTTACTTTAATGAATAATCAATAAAAACTTAATTTCATGATCCTTACGGAATAAAAAAACAAAAACAAAAACTGCTCATGATCTTCTAATTCGGACTTTAGACGGTCGTCCCTAGCTAGTCGATCTTCTAATTTAGACTTTGGCCGGTCCAACATGGCCAGTCCGCGGATTGGCCGCCCAAAGGCCGAAATCAAGTTAAGTTTCGGACTTTGACCGGTCAGTGGAATGCGATATTGGCCAATGCGCGCATTGGCCGACTTCGCGCTTTGACCGTAACATATATATATTCGAGAAAATTTAAGGGAGATCACTCCCGCATTTTTTAAGCAATCGAATGCTTACATAGAATTTTTTTATTTTTTTTTAAATGCTTACATAGAATAATGGTAAGACCATAAACAACTAAAATACCCACGTCAGAACATTATATCTTCACATTTTAAATTTATATTTAAAAGAAAATAGAATCTACCTCCTTGTTTTTTTTAAAAATGTTACAATTCTAAAAAATATTTTTAGATGCTCGTTAAGATATTCTAATAGAATTTATATGTACTATATGTTACAGTATTATTTTGCAAGCATCTTTTGAAAAATAAAAAAATAAAATAGATCTAGAAATCTATTATGCTCTCTGTAGTTAGAATACTCAGCGTTGTGACATTGTTATTTCCCTTCCCATTCATTCTCCATTCATTCACGAAGTAGGAGGAGTCATGTAGTAACTAGGTCAAACACCGGTTTTGATCTATATTTAGCCAGGCTTACTTTTAGTTTAAAAACACTGGAGAAAATGGAATGCAAGAAAAACGATTTAACCAATAAACCAATTGTTTTAAATTCTGTTGGTCTCTATAGCAAAAATTACTTTTCAATATTTGTTATACCTTTTATTTAAATATTCAAATTGTAAACAACAGTTTCGATTTTTTAGCTAGACAAAAGAGACCGCGTCGTCGCTTTGCGCACTGATATGCTGGTCTGGCCAATAGGAGGCGATGTTCGCGCGACCCAAGCGGCAAGTTCGCGACGGATGAAAATTCTGTCATCTGAACATTCGGAAAGCGAGGGTTTTGTGTGTACTGTTCAGTCTAATTCGTTCTGTGCGTGCACCTCGGAGGATTATTTTTTTTTATATTTCTTTACAATTTTTACTTGGATTTTAAATGAATTTTGTAAGTACTTATAAACTAACTTCTCCATTACATAGTCCATGCGCATGTACGGCTTTATTTACATTTAAACCTTAATTAGGCTAAATCGAACACATTCGGTGGTATCAGACAATATAGCACGCTATCGTCGCGAGGTATCGCTGACTAGATCTAGATCTAGATTCGTGGGCCTACTCTACTCGGTCCTTCAGTAGACACCGATGTCTTACAGTACACAACAATGTTGGTGTAGAAAAAAAAAATCAACACATCTTGCAGAGTGTACTGTAGAAAAGATTTGTGATTTAGGCAGATGAAGTTTAGTTTATTGTGATCAACAGCGTTGTGTGTTTGGGCCTGTGGTTAGACCTAGTCTAGCTTACTTTCGTTTTTCAACATGCTCGCGGCCCAGCTAAACCATAACAGCACTCGAAGAACATTAAGAGCAGGAAGTTACCTTACCTATCACATTAATAACAGGTGGATGGGGTATATCTTTATTTAGGACTCGTTTGGGACCGATTCTTCAAAGTAGCTAGATCTAGATTATAATCCAATATTAAATTATGTGTACAATCTATTCGTTGAAAAGTTTATTTTGCATCAGCCACCCGTTACTTGTCTAGTTTAGGAATCTAGATCTAGTCAATGTGTACACATAATAATCTAGGCCCATAAATTCTTAGAGTGGTTATTGTTTTCGAAGTGTAGATATAAGCCTACACACATACACCCTACTACACGGTGTGCTATTACTACTCGTTCATGTAAATGTAGCTTAAACCTTTACCTACACACATACTCTACTACACCGTGTACTATTACTACTCTGGCATATAGCTTGGCTTAAACCTTTGCCTACACACCTTACTACATGTGTACTGTTACTACTCTTGCATACAGCTTAAGCCTTTACCTACACATACACCCTACTACTAGTGCATGTATCCCAAACCTTTACACACAACTCAATACGCCTAGCACTACGCAGTGTGTCACTACCTTGAGCCGTTCACTGTAACTTACCTGTAGGTTATCAATGAAATGGTGTCACGTGTTAAATATTAGATCTACACCTGATGCATTACTTTATTGATTTGCATCATGTGTTATGGTAATAATATTACTAATGTGGGGCCTCGATGTACTTATAGTACAATAGAATATATAAACAGCGCTTAGCTATTCGTCATTAAGTTGGTAACATCCTCTAAGGTTTTTTTTTTTTTGTGGGACTTCAAACTTACCGCTGTTGTTAGGTATAAAGAGCGATTGTGCACATGCTATTTACACAGAAATGTGACGTTTTGACCTACCACGCCTTCCGTTATGCCCCTACCATTGACCATCATGTCGCATTTCGGTCAACAAAACCGATATTAATAATTCATCACAAATCAAAATTAAGAAAAAAAATCACCTGTTACATCTTCATTTAAACCGGTTGTAAAGTCTCTTTTGTTAAAATAAAAAGAATTAAGCTAGCTGTGTCATCCAACCGTGCTAAATTAAAAATGTACACAAAAATTAGGGGCAAATAAAAGCAACGAAAATTAAATGCAGTCTTGTAAAATAATTTATAGCATTGTTTTGCTTACACCACTACCCCCACTTAACACACTTTTAACACAACACTCAGCTGAATTGATTTTATTTTTCTCCTTCGACAAAACCTGTATAAAGTTTTTCGAATGACGTTTGTATATCATTATACAGTGCTCTCTCGGCAGCTTACATTTACATTACCTGATACTTCCCCGTTAGGACCTTACTCGAGAACGTTAGCTCTAACACTCGACCCAACCTATCCCTTGCCTTGTAAATAATTTAAGAAGGTCCTTCCCCCAAAAAAATGTAAGACAGTTATATAATTGAGCTGTTTGGTTTTAGTGTGTTTAACACTTACACTAACACTTATATTATCAGTGTTTGTTTTTCTTGCCAGCGGTTCCCATCCTGTATAACAAAGTCTCTCATTTACGGGGTTAATTGAAGTTAAACTATTTACCAATAGTGAATGTAGCACACGACACAGGGGTTTCACCTGTTCATCCTGCGCGATGCTTGACCGAGGTGCGTTACGGTTTGTTTGTCCTCGAGGGGGGCCGTGTGTAGTAAACAGCTGATCCGGCGTATCGGTGTCCTGCCGTTAATGATCTCATCTCCCATCCTTCTGGCTAATGTCTTGATTGCGCTGATAATCTTCCGATAGGTTTAGCGGGCCGTGGTATGCGGGGTTTTTAACACTAGCAGCCCTGGATCTCTCTAGATCTGCTTATCTGGTGTTTTATAGAGATAATGGACACGTTCCCTGCATGTCTTGTACTTCAAGTTGGTGACTAGTGGTAGCTTGCATTGTATTATGGGCATGTTCTCATGTGCTTCTTATACCGAGTATATTATGTTCTATTTAATACTGTCGGAAAGTCATATTTAATTCCAACATTAAAAGTAGTTTTTATCTTAATTATTAACTTCATTTAGACAAAAACGAATATTTTGTGAAAGGGTTCACTTGTTCATACAGAGTACTGCTCCTTACATAGGGACGTCAAGGGTGGTGTTTTGGTAGAATGAATGGGTCATTAATGGTTAAATAGCTTCAAGTTGGGAATAGTAGCCCGCAATGTGTTATCAGCACGTTCTCTGCATGTCTTGCCCTCCTTGAGTAACCTCAAGTTGGTGTATGATAGAAGCGTGCATGGTTTTGTTTGTTTATCAGCCATTGGCGTGGGTTAGGTTTTGAGCAGTCTTGTTGGGATTTAAACAGAAATTATCTTTGGATTTTGTAAAGTTGATGGCTAACTGTGTCGGTAGTAGATTATAGTTTATGGCTGTTTATCTTCATTATGGGTTACCATTGTTTTCAGTAAGACTCGAACCCTAGCAGCTATTAGTGTTAGTATGAGATATATTTAAATGAACCGCACGTATGTCATCGACCTATGTGGAACACGGCTGGTTTTCGTATAATCAGCGGCGTGGCGTCGTACATCTTCATCTAGTTTATCTTAGGCGTATTCTTCATTCTGCGACCTCATATTTATGTGTTAATGCACATTTCAAGTCATTTTTTAAATACATTTATGTATAGCTAATGCCTTTAAGTTGGTGTATTGCAATTCATCTTGTATATCCATATGCCGATAGTATGACATTGTCCGTAGTTACGACACTGGGTAGTCCCGAAGACGGTTTGGCCATATGTATCAGTGTTTATTGAAGCCATCTTGCTGGTCTTATTAAGCCTCTGTTTTATTCACCGACAGATCAATAAAAAGGTTTTAACGTCCGAAGACACTTGTCTGATCTTAGTCGTGCGCGCGCGTTGGTCCACTTTCTGACGTCATCTCGGTCATTTACACATCCCTCCCCCACTCCTCCCTTTTTAACAAACCCACGAGTGTCACCAAAGCTCTCGTCAATCCCCGAGCCCCCTGTAGCGGGTAGTTTTCTTATTCCCCGTGGCGACTTCTACTTTCACCGCCCGGCTTGACCTTTTCCTGCTTACGCAAAGTTCCGACTAAAAATGGTGTCGCGTGAGGGGGGGGTGCCAACATTTTCTTTATCTCCCTTGCCCGTTATTGTCTCCCTTCCCTTCATATTTACCCCCTTTTACTCCAAGTTTTTACTGTACGGGTTATCAACCCGCGAGTTTTCGCTGATAAATGTTTATAATTAGCGCAATTAGCGAGACTCGTTAGCGTTTCCTGTTCCTCTGTTTAGGGGGCCGAACGGGTCGAGCGTAGGAATTTTTCTGTTGGTATGCGCGGCCGGTGGTGTAATGGGCGGGATACTTTTATCCCTCTCGATGTGTGTGTGAGGGGGGTTCTTTGATCTCGTGGCACTTGTATGGGGTGGGGCGCATGTGGTGGCGATAATTGGTACTTTTTGTTCTGTGAAAGGTTAGCATGATCCGGCATCGATTATTGATGTCGACCCGTGTGTTTCGCGTTGGTATGCCGCGGGTCAAATTACACTATAGCGGGGGTGGGGTGGGGGGCAATGATGTACACGTGCGTGATGCTCCGGCATGATGGTCTTCATCAGCCGAGGCGGTGTCGTGTCGCGCTCTCCCGTGACGTGCATCCGTTACCGGCAGACAAGCAGCAATTTCAAGAGGTCCAAGCACAGGAGAACGCGAGGAGGGTGGTGGAGACTCTCTAATTAGGGAGATAGGAAGTTTAGTTTAGGGGGGTGCATCTATCTATCTATCTATCTATCTGTCTGTCTGTCTGTCTGTCTGTCTGTCTGTCTGTCTGTCTGTCTGTCTGTCTGTCTGTCTTTTTGCCCGTCTTTTTGTCTTTTTGCCCGTCTTTTTGTCTGTCTTTCCATCGACTCATCGGCCTGTAAACAAAATGTAATTTGTTCTTATTTTGCATTCAGTCTCACCCAATTTACACCATGACAGTGTATTCGACCACTGTTTTATCTTCGCTTCGATGCAAATAATTTTTGACCAACATCGCCATAAAGTTTTTGTTTATCAAATCCCCCCCCCCCCCCCCCCCCCCACATTTCCTGTATGCCAGCCAACACTGCACCGTTGGGTGAAGTTGGCAGGTGCCCCAACGACCACAGACGGACCTCCCTCCCTCGGGCCGTGGACCGGATAGAAAGTTCTCGTGTCTGTTCAATATTCTAATGTCCGTGACAAACCTACAAACGTCTGTATAGATTTGGTCTTGTTGGTGTGCAATTTTAATAAGCTTTTAGCCGTCTAGACATAAATTCTTATAACAACGGTGAATTATCACTTAAAGCAGTTACTTTGATAAGCATTTAATATTTAAAAAAAAACCAAATTGTATATCTAGTTTTGATAAAAGGTGTTCGTAGCAATGAAGCAGTTTGAAAGCGCACCTTAAAATCAGTAATGATGAACGCACCATTTTGCTTCGGTACTGTGCGGGTTAAAGTGGGTCATACGGTAATTCCCGTTTAGGACACTGGTGTGTAACAGTTGTCAGTGTGTTTGTTTATATTCTAAGTTCACGCGACGGGGATAGAAGAAAACAGTT